GATGAGTCAGCACAAGTTTGACCAAAATAATCTAACCTGACATGTCTAATAAGCAGGTGACATGGCTTTTCTTGTTAATTCCATTGTTTTGTCTGAATGTTACTCCTTTGGTCCTATTTATAAGGCACTTCCACCATATTTCACACAGACCAAGGAAAACCTTAAATTTCATTAACTCTCATTTAAATTTTAATAACTTTTCAACTTTATCCCTATTTAATATACATTATACCTCATATAAACAAAGTCAATACAATAATAAATGAGGGGTAAATTTGTACATTCATACAAAAAATTTCTCTCAATGCTTTATAAATAGGACCAAAAAATATTTTCTCTCTCTACTCTATAAATAGGACCAGAGGAGTATCTCTGAAAAAATTTCTTACTCTGAAAAAAATTCCAAGAGCTGAAGAGAGCATTTACTGAACAGAGAAAACAAAGCAGTGGCAGACGAAAAAAATTCCACATCACCTGCTTATTAGACATGTCACGTCAGATTATTTTGGTCAAACTTGTGCTAACTCATCAATTTAACGGTCAAAGTAATAGATCTGTTAGCATGGGATACCGGTGCACCATTTTAATTACTTTGAGGGCAAAATTGCACCATAAATTACTTTAGGTCACTGGGTGCACCTGGAAAAATACTTGGGGGTGCTGGATGCACCTTAACCCTGAAAAAATTCCACATCACCTGCTTATTAGACATGCCACGTCAGATTATTTTGGTCAAACTTGTGCTGACTCATCAATTTAACGGTCAAAGTAACAGATCTGTTAGCATGGGATACCGGTGCACCATTTTAATTACTTTGAGGGCAAAATTGCACCATAAATTACTTTAGGCCACTGGGTGCACCTGACAAAATACTTGGAGGTGCTGGATGCACCTTAACCCTAAAAATAATTCAAATTTCTGCTAAAACCTAAGTTATTGTAAATAACTTTTCAATACTTATTATTTTTATATTAGATTTGTCATTGACAATTAAATTATGAAAATAATTTCAATTTCTTTAGTATTCAAAGATAACTAACTACTGTGGAAGGTTCAACCATGCCTCCAGCACAAGCTCTCCTCGATACATTGAGAGGAAGGCCGCCTGGCTCTAGAAGTTATTTTTTTAACATTTGGCCTTTCACTTTATCCGTACACCCTGCAGTTTCCTTCACACAGTTGATCTTTTAGTTTTCTATGTCATTATAAAGATTTTCAGGGAATTGAACTCCTTATAAAATATTGAAAATTTTGAACGTGTTTTTGCTCATGAAATTAAATTTTAACTGATTAAAATTCTGTGATTTCTTTCGCTAATTTTTGGTTGTGTACTCCAGACAAATTAAATGCACCGATTGAAGCATATTCAAATGTACAGCTAGATAGCCCTTGATGTGCAAGTTGACTCACGATGTCTAAGCCTTTTAGTCCCATACGTCGTGTTTTGCAAAAATAACTTGTCCAAAGATTTGCCCGTGGCAGACCCATTCAGTTTAGTGATTGGTATCAAATTAAGGATGAAGAGAGGGGGAGGAAGAGAAGAAAAAAAGAGAAGGAAAAGATGAGATGGCAGGAAGAATAGAAGAAGGGGGTAATTTGGTCTTTTTCTCATCATTTGGCAGTTTCACAATTTAAGACTCTTCCCTTTTTTTTTTTAATTTCACCCTGTTCCCAAGTTCTGTGAAATTGCTAGTTCTGGAACTTTCCTGGGCCCGCCAATCCATGATGCATATCACTGATTTGGAATAAATTGGCGTGAACTAATAAATTTCATATCAAATAGGCGCTTCGTTGTTAAGCTTTACTTTTGGACTTTTGCCTCAAAACTAATAAATTTAATCTTAAAATTTAGTCCACACACCTTATCCTTGTTGCTAATAGCTTCCGGCATCCGTGACTAATTTTTAATATGTTCTTTAATTAAACTTTATTATGTTTTTCTAATTATTTTTTTCATCATTGTCCTTGTCTTTGACTATAAGATTTTCTCTGCATTAATTAGAAGACTGTAAGGGTATGTTGGGGAGGGATTTTAATGGAGAGAATGATAAAAGGAATGGGAAGAATTTTAATATTAGCTTGTTTGAATTAATACAAGGGGAGGGGAGGAATTTTAATATGACCTTGTTTGGTTTAGGAAGGGAGGGGAGGCAAAATATTTTTGTATGGACAACTTCACTCTTATATTATTTAAGTTGATTTTTACAAACTTTATAGAGTAATTAATAAAATACAATTATAAATAATATTTAATATATAAGATCAAATTTTTATAATTAGCAAAATTAAATAAATATAATGATGATACATAATTAATAGCTACTATACATCCGATAACTATAACTGTATTTATATCCAAAATTTGATCTAATGAAATAAATATGTTTAATTTAAATTTGTTTTTTCAGCTTTCATTTTTCTCTGTATTGTGAGAATATTAATACGCATCGATATACATATTTGTTGAGAATATTAATATGCATCGATATAAATTCTTCTAATTTTGGAGGGGAGACTTATAAGGGGAGGGGAGGGAAAATGTTAAAAAAATTTTCCTCTCCTCCTAAAATTTTTATCTTGCCAAACAAGAAAAAATAATTAAAATCCCTCCCCTCCAAATCCTTCATATCAAACCTATCGTAAGGGTTTTCCCCCCTTGTTTCAATTATACATGATTAATTTTTAAATTAAGGCATATATTTTATAATTTAATTTGACTTATGTAAAATAATAATAATTATTATTTCAACGATATTTTTCAGACAATAAACCGTTTGTTTTATTTATAGTGCTACATTTATTACCAATATTTCTGTATGAAATTTATTTTGGCTTTGTTAATTCAAAAATTATGGCCGATCACCCTTACTCAGACCAGTTATTCGAGTCAAGCGCTCACTGGCTATCGATTTTGACAAATGCGTTATATTGTGCGCGCGCAATCTCAGTTTGCGTGCCCGGTGCGCGGCTGTATGCGTGGGGTGGCTGTCCCCACACGGGGAGCTCTTTAAAAATTATGATTACGTAAGCACCGCAATTGCATCGTGCTTAGCTTGCCCAAACGGCATCAAAAATCTATATTCTCTGCATCCGACCCCCCGATCTCATGGCAGCATGAATCAAATGAGTCAAATGAGTCGCCACCACGTGGCTTTTTCGAATTCCTTTGGGCTAAGCCCAGGTACTACGACAACAAGTAGAATTGTGAGATGTGGCATCTTTCAGGTCAGTCTTACATGTCTTTTTCATGTTTACTTCACGGACATATCTGCTCACGTTGCGTCGTTGCCGCAACACATTTGACTATTGAGTAGCCGTTTCTCTATGTGGAAGAGATTCCCATTGGCTCTTTTGAATGGCGTTGCCAATATTCCTGCCCAGATACGTGGAAAACAAGTTAACGAGCGAGAGAAACCAATTCCGAGCAAGGCTAAAAATGAGAAAAAATGACAAATAAAAATCCTGATATATGAAATTGCAATTTAAGACCCTCAATTTAGAAAATAGTAAATAAAGACCTCTTGCAAATATAAAATCTTGGTGAAATATCTGAAATACCCCTCAATCAAATGACAAGTTGATAATGAAAAATGACAAGTTCACTTTAATAAATAACAACTTTAATAGACCAAGTCACGACTTGGCTGAGAGTATGCCAAATGACAAGTTGATTATGGGAAATGACAAGTTCACTTTAGCAAATAATAATTTCAGTAGACCAAATCACAATTTGGCTGAGAGGTATTTCAGGTATTTTACCAAGATTTCATATTTGTACCAGGCCTTTATTTGCTATTTTTTCAAATTGAGGGTCCCAAATCATAATTTCACATATTGAGAGTCTTTATTTGTTATTTTTCTTAAAAATAACTAAAAATAACAGCATGAATCTACTTGGATTTTTCATTCGCTACTTAGTAGCTAAACTTTGATTTGTTCATTTCTTTTTCACACATGACGGCCTTTTGTCCACAACCAACCGAAAACAACAACCCTTTTTCCTTCGCTCAATTCTAGATCCTTCCATGAATCATTGAAGATAAAAACAAAAAGAGGGGGAAGTTAAGGAGAAAGACCTAGAGAAAATAATATTATCTTTTATAGTTAAAAGGAAAAATTACACTCAGGTCCCACAGAGTACAATTAATATCAAGAAGGTCCCTCGAAATCGCGAAATGATTCTGAAGTCCCCAGGGACCTGTGTGTAATTAATTCTAATTGTGAAATTACCTACTTACCCCTGTTAATTTTATTGCAACAATTCGTTTACAATCTCAACAGTGGCTGTTAACAACCCGAGAAGACGTGATTGACAACCTCGACAGTGCTCATGACAACTCACTCTGTGGAATGCCAGGGGCGTTGTTGAGGTTGTTAACCACCTCTTCTCGGGTTGTTAACAGCCACTGTTGATGTTGTAAATAGGTTCTAATTTTATTTACAATCTCAACAGTGCTGTTAACAACCCGAGAAGACGTGATTGACAACCTCAGCAGTGCTCATGACAACTCACTCTGTGGAATACCAGGGGCGTTGTTGAGGTTGTTAATCACCTCTTCTCGGATTGTTAACAGCCACTGTTGAGATTGTAAATAGGTTCAAATTAACAGGAGTAACTGCGTAATTTTACAAATAGAATTAATTACACACAGGTCCCTAGGGACTTCAGAATCATTTTGCGATTTCGAGGGACCTTTTTGATATTAATTGTGTTCTGTGGGACCTGAGTGTAATTTTCCCTAGTTAAAAAGGAATATTGGAAATAGGTGTAGGCTTCGCACGCAAGTTGACTTTGTTGGGTCCTCCCAAAAAAAGGGAGGGTACTTTGGAACCTTCCCTGCAGAGGGGGGGGGGACTTTGGAACCTTCCCTCCAACGAAACACTATATAAACACATGCCTATCCCAAAATAATCGACTTGTGATTTCGAACCACGATTTTCTGCTTTGCTTTTCGAGGCCTACCCCACTTTCTTCCACTCCGCACAGACTCTTGCCGTCATGGTCTTGGATGCCGAGAAAACCACTGGCCACCGTGAGTACAAGGTCAGGGACCTCTCTCAGATCGAGCACGCTGAGGTCGAAATGCCCGGTCTCATGGCTTCCCGTGCCGAGTTCGGCCCTTCCCAGCCTTTCAAAGGCGCCAGAATCACCGATTTCCGCAAGATGGGTCGTCATACGAGGGTCGTCGTCGAAAATCTAAATAGTCTCGGAGCCAAAGTTCGCTGTTGCTCCGGCGAGACCTTCTCCACTCAGGATCACGCTGCCTCCACCATCGCAAGTGACAGCTCCTCTGTCTCCAAGGGGGAGACACGTGAGGAGTACTGGCTGTGCATCAGTCGTGCGCTTGACTGGGGTCATGGCGGTGTTCTCGATATGATAATTGGTGATGGCGGCGACGCCACCTTCTTGATCAGTGAGGGTGTGAAAGCTGAGGAGATATATGAGAAGACTGGTGAGTTTCCAGATCCGTCCTCTACCGATGATGCTGAATTGCGGATTGTTCTCAGTATGATTGGGGATGGGTTGAAGGTTGATCCCATGAGGTACCACAAGATGAAGGAGAGACTCGTTGGCGTCTCTGTGGAGACAGCCGACGCTGCTGAGCGGCTTTACCAGATGCAAGCTAATGGAAGACTCCTGTTCCCTGCCATTAATGTCAACAACTCTGTTACAATGAGCGAGGTAATTAATATCAGTGACCGGACAAGTGGCGGAACGACCTCTCGATCCATATATAGTTCATTTGCTATTTCAGATTTTAAATTCGTTAACTTTAGAGTCAATTCTTCAAATCTAATCATGAGCCTGAACCTTTTTATTTTTACGGTTTTACCTGAGTTTTGGGTATCATCTAGAAAGATAATACCTCTAATTCCCACGTGGAAAGACAAAATAATAAAACCCTATACTGGCTGTTGAATAGGAAGTTGGTCATTTCGGGTCTCGTTTTCTATATCTAACGTATTCTACGTTTGTGTTAACAGTTCATTAACTTGTACGGTTGCCGCTACGCTGTTCTTGATGGGATAAAGAGAGCCACCAACATGGCGATTCCTGGGAAAAGAGCAGTTGTGTGTGGATATGATGATGCTAGCAAGGGATGTGCTATCGCACTTAGGCTGGCTGGAGCTAACGTCGTTGTGTATACGGATGATTCCAACCACGCCGTTCGAGCTGGCTTGGGACGTTTCGAAGTTAAGACCCTCGACGATGTTGATCCTGAGGCAGACATATTCGTGACCAATATCAGACGGGGAAATATGGATGTGGTTAAATACGTGAAGAAGATGAAGAACAACGCCATTATTTACAACATGGATCCAATATTGGACCTTCACAGCAACATATATGCTGGAGTGGAGCAATGCTTCTCTGGAATGAAGCGCACCATCGTCAACCTTGAAACTGACAAGTGGTTCATTCCTGAGACCAACTCAAGCATCATCGTGTTGAGCAACACGGGATATCCTGATTTGATGCGGTCTTGGTCTTGTACAAGCCATCTGGTTGCTATGCTTGAGTTGTGGAACGAGAGGGGGACAGGCAAGTACGAGAACAAGGTTTATGATTTGCCTGAGCATCTTGAAGAGAAGGTTTCTGCTCTTCACCTTGCCAAGCTTCTGGACGCGAGCGTGGCAACGAGGGGTGGGCCTGAGAAAGGTGATAAGATCAAGAGGATCCTAAAAGTCATCGGTCCTAAAGCTTGTGGGTTTTTCGGAATGGTCGCTCTGGGTCTCATGAATAATGCCCACGAATGGTGCCAAAGTTAGGATCTCATTTTTCCAAAGTTTGCCTAGATCTTCCTTATTCACCAAAAAAACATAAGAAGTTTGCCTAGATCTTCCAGTTATTTTGGGTAGGGGGAGAGATGTTAGAATCAAAGCCTAGCCCATTAGTGTCAATTCTCAGCCCAATGCTTTAGGATTCTGATTCTTTAATGTATGCCTTATTGTTTTACACGCGACACACTCATCACACTTTCGCCTTTATACCCAGCATTGTAGTTCATTTTGAGTTTGAGCAGCGTAATGGATATTCTCTTTGTCTTCTCTTTAAGAGAAGAGTGCTCTTTTTTTTAGTAAGCATACAGAGACAACCTTATTTGAACTTCTTCTTCTAGGCCTTAACAACGCTTCCAAAATTAAAATGGAGCTCACTTTTCTGCTATTTGGGGGTAATTAATTAAAGGACGGGAGAAAGGGACTTTGAAATCCTGTCATTCAACCAGCCTATAAAATGGTTTTAAATTTGATACAGCCTTTTTGTTTTTAGCATCTAGAGACTCCCATAACCATATAGCGTATGAATCTAGTTAATTAATTAGCACTTATAGTGTATCTAATTAATATGTGGCTAATTAGGTTCCATTGGATTATCATATCTTAGGAAGCCTAGCCAATCGGAGTATCTTTTCCTGAAAAGCCATTTTGATGGTAATTACTAGGCATAATCATGTCTTACAAGTCCGCGCAATTAGATTCACAACAAGATAGGACTTCGTCCAAGCAATACATAAAAAAAAAAAAATGCTTCCACCAATTCACAAACAAAATTAAATCTGCAAATCTTGAAATATGTATTTAATTAATAAATACACAACAAACACAACTTGTAAAAATCCCCTGTTCAACCCAAGAGAGGAAAAATACAAGTCGAATTGAGAATCAAAACTGGATCAGTTAAGAGACTTACCGAGCCATATAAAATCACTGCCACGGATGGATGCACCTAGAAGAAGAAGATGATCATCACGCTGATCTCAGGCCTCTCATGGAAGGAAAGGACGATTAAGTTAAAGCTCCACAAATCCTCTTAGCTTGCTCGGCCATGGATGCACCTTGAAGAAGAAGATGATCATCACGCTCTAAACTCCTTGAGACAGCCACGGAGTTACAACCCACGCGACCAAACCGGGATGAATCTGGAGATCAAGGAGGGATTTCTAGTGGAGATTATATTGAAATGGACGATGAGAATGATATGGAACAATGGATTTAGATATAGTGAAATATGTGGAGGATATAGGCACGGCTAGGCTAGAAGAGGAAGCAGAAGATAAGGGAAAATGGAGAGATCGAAGAGGGACAAAATTGGAATGTGAGGGATGGAATGGAAGACTAATAATGAAAGACTATAATTAAGCTTTATAAGAAAATAAAATCGAAGGCAATAGTTTCGTAGAAATATCTAGTGCAAGTTGGCGTCCCCACACATGTGGAAGTGGATGGAAGATTTAAAGGTGAATTTGTCTTTTATTTGGTTTTCTTATATTGGCGTCCCCACGTGACAATAAAAATAGATGGAAGTTTAGGAGCGAATGCTTCTCTCTTTCTCTCGGTCCCTCAACGACATGTTTTATAATTAACAATAATTCTATCTTAGAATGGTGGTGGTAATGTCCTCCACATACCCACCTTGTCCTATAGCCATTGCCTCTAATTCCTAAGATCTTTGAAGCTTCGGAAGGTTAATGTATTTGAACATAAAGATGGATTTGAATCATAGGGAGCTAAATTAAGGATTTAAAGATGAAGGGCATTAAAAGTAAAAGCAATAAAGATAAGATATTTTGAACTGATCGCACTACGAAAAAAAAAAAGTGTAAATTAGCGACGGAATTTAGTGATAGAATTTTCATTGTTAATTAAAATTAGTAATGGATTAGTGACGGAATTTAGTTAGCAACAGAATTAGCAAAAAAAAATTTCAGTCTTTAATTCTACCATTACTAATTATTTAGTGACGGAATTCAAAATTCCATCTCTAATTAGCGATGGATTGTTAACGGATAAGTGACGAAAATTAGTAACAAAAAATTTCTATCACTAATCCGTCACTAATTAGAGACGAATATCTCATAAAAATTCTATCACAAAATAATGACGGATTTGTAAAGAAAATTTTGCTGCAAATTTTTTTATCCTGTAAATTTAAAATACCACCTTACAACCGCCACATCATCACCATCACTATTCCGTTGCCAACTGAGCTGAGAAACATCTGTAAAATTTTTATGCAAAAATAAATGAATATAATATTTATAATTACAAATACAAATATATATAATTTAATATATTATTATTTATTTCAATTTAATTTTTTATTTTACTAAAAAATAATTAATCATTAATATTTTTATTCAAATATTAAATAAACTAATAATTATATTATATTTATTATATTTATTTATAATATTTCTATTTTTATCTATATAATATATTATTGAAAAAATTTCATATATTATATTTTATCTTAATAATCAATATTAAAAAATAATTGTTATATATTTATATTGTAATTTTTTGTGACGGATTAGTGACGGAATAGTAAGGAAAATTAGTGATAGAATTTTTTTGTCACTAATTTCATCATAAAATTTTTGTTCGGGGAGTTACAGATGGATTAGTAACGAAAATTATTGACAGAAAAATTCCGTCACTAATCTTCTTACAACAGAATCAGTGATGGATTAGTGATCAAGTTTAGTGACGGAATAAAATTCGTCACTAATCTATCACTAATTTAGTGATAAAAAAATTCTGCTACTAAATTCCTTCACTAAATTCCGTCACTTATTTTAGTGATAGAATTTGTCATGGATTAGTGACAAAATAAGATTCTGTTACTAAATTCCGTCACTAATGCCTTGTTTTTTTTTTTTGGTAGTGTGATAACTATAAGATTGATCTTAAAAGTTTGGAATTTTGGATGCACATTAGAGAAAGTTAGTTCAAGCGAGGCCTTAAGAAGAGTGAGACATTGATTTGGCCAAATTGAATATCCCATATGCTTTTGCTCACGGGGTTTATGTGCTATTTATTTGAAGCACCTGTAAATGTAATAACCAAGATGCTATAATGAAAATATTAAATTAAATTGGAGTGAGGATAGTGTCACCACAATGACTGAAACTGCCACTCTCTGTGCATCCATTTAACAAGACGTTATTGTTTGGCATAAACTTAACTATTTGAATGTCACAAAATTTATTGGAGCATAGATGGGAACTTTGAATCCTAAGATTCCAATAAATTGCTCTTCAACTGATAGGAAAAATCTTTTTTTCATTTAGGGCATGTTGTGTTGTTGTCAAGTATATTCATAGTGAGTGTAAACAACCCTATTTTGTTTGGACCCACTAAAAAACATAAAACATAAAAAACAATAAAAAAATCCTCTTTGATTCTTTATTGGAGGCCAAGTTTAAAAGGCCACAAGTGGCAAATCCAAAAAAAATAAACGAAAATAAAAATATCCTCTCTACAATAAATGACAGTAAAATAAAATATGAGAATTAAAAGTTAATCGACCTCCAAATTAGAAAATATGGGGTGGACTCTTTTAAAAAGGAAATAAGAAAATCTAAAAAAATCAAAATCAAAATCCCTTATTTAAGATGATTTGCTTCTCAATTTGGAAATATCTTTTGGTATGTGAAAAATTTTAAAAATGAAAATGAAAATAAAAAATCACAATTTAATGATGATTTAGTGCTTAAATGGGAAGTGTTGTTATCAGAATGGAGGGGAAAAAATTAAAAGAAAATTAAAAATACTCTAGTTGGGGCTTATAAATAGAAAAGAAAATGTCAGAGTAAGACACGCAAAAAATTCGTGAGCAAAAAAGAGGCAAGAGGAAAAATTTGTTCCTTATTTTTCACTTGGCTCTTTTACTTGATTCTTTTCATGATGCAAGACTCAGAGGTACATCCTTCCGCCTATTCTCATTTTCTTCCAATAACATGTGATTTATCTTGTTAGCCCTTATAAAAAGAAAACAGATTTTTGAATTCCTTTCACGCTCATGTCACGTCGAGGTACTGCAGAAGAAAAAACCGTAAAATGATGGAAGAAACAGGTGTTTTCACGACTCTACCACATAGTCAATTCTTTTTCACTTAATCCCTATTTCATGGCCACATATCTTTCCGGCTAAGGAATGGGAAACTCTTCTTTTATGACATATAATATTTTTTTTATTTATTGCATTTAATTATTTGACTTTCCCTGTAAGTTTCAAATGTACGTACTTCCTCACTATGCACATTATTTCTACAGACATATGCCTCTTGTGACGATCGTTCTTTTAAAATCCATTTAGATTAAATCAAACATTTTATTCGAAAGATTAACCATGATAGAAAAGAAGAAACCTTAAAATTTTAAAATCGCTATCATGATTAAAAGAAATAAACTTATAATACGAGCAACATCAATTGTTAACTTAGGCTTTGGACTTCCAAAGTCTAGAAATATCATTCAACCATTAGTCCAAAACAAACTTATACTTTTCAACATACGAACTGATAAATTCTTTTTAATACAAGCTATAAAGCCCATTAGTCAAAAGTCAACACTTTCAAAAGACTGTCACGTGCAGAGTCTGAGATGTCTCTGACCTTCTAGCGGCCCTATCATACCAGATAGTAGTAATTAAAAGTATTAGTTTACAACAATAGAGTAGATGAGCCCTATGTAATAATATATAACAAGTCGGCACATAGAACAAAAGTAGAGAGGCTATACAAGCTATAACAGTATACTATGCCTTCGGAGCCTTCCCTGATGGGTCACCAACTATCACCTAAAGATAGTAAAGACCATGGGGTGAGACAAATGTCTCAGTAACCAACTTTCCAACTCATCATACATACTAACATGTGTTCGTAAGGTGTCAAATGGGACAATTATTAAATCTCAATATATATATCAATGAAAATCCCAACATGTATATTCAAATAATCTCAATCATCCAAACCCTCATTACAGGG